CCAGTCAAGCTTCGGTAACTGGGGCAGAAGCGCTTTAGGTGTCCCAGGAAGTGAGCTTGGTGGAGGTACCCAGCCGGGGTACAGGGAGCTCCGTCACAGGCCATATAAAAGCAGTTTTCTCCTAATTTTCATTGGAAATTGGTAGTACCGAGGTCCAACAGACTAAACCACTTGCATCCAGACAAAGAAGTCAGGAGATCGTCTATTCGCTGCAGCCTATATTGATCAGGAAAAAGTTTTTATTTAAAGTTCTATAGTCGATGTATAATCTTACTGAACCATTCTTCTTTTTCACCACCACTATTGGTGATACATATGGACTATTGAATTATCCTAGCTTCACAAGCTGCCCATAACGTCTACGTAATGATGTCTATAGAGGGCGCCAAAAAACGTATATAGCTTACACATGAGATGTCTGCATAATGACGTCAGATAAATAAAGTTTAACCTTTATTTTCTGTAATTCTAGCCTTTTATGTTACTGTCTTTATTTTATTGTTTCCCTTACTGTTTTCTGAGGTATGTCTTGTTTTTTTCAAATACTCATACTTTCCTTTTATATTTCTCTTCTCTTATTTTCATTTTACCTCTGTTTTTCTCATGGTACATTATTAAGGGAGTCTATTTGTATTGTTTTGGGACTGTTTTTGTTATCTGGTACCTTCTCTCTTTGCTGTCCGGAATCGCGGCAGGCCTCTAGCCTGCCAAGATTTTCCCAGGCTTTTGGGACCGCAGAGAACGCCTCAGATGATACGTCTCTCTTGCGGCGGCCATCTTGGATCTTATGCTGTTGCGCGAGATCCCGGTGGCCATCTTGGCCATTTTTTTTGTGTCCGCGATCCGCACAGATTATATAGGGCACGCTGATCATCTAGTTTGCGCATGACCGGCGGAAGAATTCCGCAATCCGCCGGGGGCGCATTCTGCGCTGCTACAGTTATGTTTCTGTGGGTGTTTTGAACTGCCAGGAGTATATTGAGCTGCAGTTCTTTTCCTATTATTATTTATTATAGTAATTCTTGGGAGTCTTACATTAAATACCTAGTTTGCTTTTTCTGACAAACACTCAATACTTACTTGGTTCCCTCAGTGGCACAGTCCACTATTTATTGGTTGTCTAGTAAACCATACTTATTCCCAGGATTTTTAACCATCTTCCTGCATATAACACTACAGGGTCTGGAGTGTGAATCCTCCTCATCTGACCCTTCATTATCTCAGAGTGCCTACTATTGCCACAATACATATACTGGGGTGAGCCCCAATGTTTATTTCCACTCTGAGCCACTTCTACATCTCGGTGATATTGTAAGGGGGTGAGCCCCCTATATATTATGACCACCCTATTGGATATATTTATGTTGGTCAGTATTTGATTGTGCTGTCTCTGGTACAGCTATCTGATTGGCCTGCTTTGCCTGTGCCCCACTACCTCCCTAAGGGTCTATATACACCCAGAGGATTTCTACTGGGTGAGCCCCAGTTATATATACGTGGCTAAATTCATTACATATGATATTGCGCACTGGTCCTTATTTCTAATAATAGCCTATTCTGACCCTCAGATGAACTGGATAAAGTAATGGATTCCTCTGCCCAGGACCAAAATCTCCAGGCGCTTATTAATGCAGCAGTGGCTGCTTCTGTGGAAAAGGCCCTGTCATGGGTCCTTCCTGTGGATCCTAAGGACAGAGCCTCCTATGAGCCACTACGCTCTGCTGAAGAATCGGAGGACTCAGATCCCACCCAGAGTGCACAAACCGCAAAAACTCTATTGGAAAGAGCATGGTCCAGAACCCCTAACCGCAAGGGTAAGGCGCCAGCAAAGTGTCCAAAGCAAAAGAATACTAAGCAGAGACTCTAGGTCCGTCCTACTCTGTCTGAAGAAGAGGAAGATGCCATTGGATGAATGGCAAGCGGATCAGTTAGAATCTGATGAGGAGGCCGACAAGCTTTAGAGTGACATCCTTCTCTGGAGAAGGGATCACCAACCCCACCTTGGAGGATCCAACCTCCTTGCCAACACCATCCGGTGCTGCAGACGTTTTCATGGATACCGCAGTTCAACCAGTGTTTGATCCACACCAGAATGGGAGTTACCGGATCATCTGGCTCAATACATCCACTTCTGGATCAGACGACCCCTGCACCGTGACGTCCGCAAGTGATTGAGAGCGGAATGTCCCAAACCATCCCTTCCAGACAAGGTTGCAATGACCCTGGAATTTGACAGAATTGTGTACACCTACCTGGCCAGGACTGGCCGTGACCCACGGAAAGGCGGGGAGCGCAGTCTCCGTCTGAAACAAGACAAGTTCCTAGATATACTGGGACCAATAGCCAAAATCCTACTATTGGCTGAAGAGGCCCTCTCTCAAGAGGGAACCTTAGACCCAACTGTGATCCGAGAATGGGCTTCACGTTCCATATGCCTGCTGGGCAATGCAAACGTGTCTCTCTAGAAAAGCAGTGCTGCTGCTTATGGATGCCAAGCTCTCCGACCTTGGTTCCAAAGAATTAGGCCCTCTTGCCAAAGGCCCATTGTTTGGAGAACCTTACATAAGGGAGCTCCAAAAACATGTCAACCTATACACTACGTGGAACCCCTTAATATAAAAATATCACTTGTGTGTGTGTGTGTGTGTGTATTATGAGTGTGTGCATGTGTGTGAGTATATATGTCAGTGTACTTTTGTCAGTGTGTGTGCACACATCTATGTATGTGCCTTTGTGCGAATGCACATCTGTGAATGTGCATCTGTATATTAGGGTGTGTGCATGTATCAATGTTTGTGTGTGTCAGGGTGCATTTGTGCAGAGGCGGACTGACAGGTCGGGCAGATCGGTCATGGACTGAGGGCCCGAGGCAGTCAGGGGGCCCGGCAGAACAGCCATGCTTCTGCTGTGGAGATCAGAGATCTCCTCGGCGAGAAGTAAGTTGTGCAAAAAAAAGTGCTGTAAGAAGATTGCAGGGGGCCCATAATGCCTCGAAGGGCCCCTGCAACCCATCACTCTGCTAATACCCCCCCCCATCCAGTGAGAGACCTGGCAGCACACCTCTCACTGCCAGGTCTCCTCTCTCTCTCCCTGCAGCACTCAGTGCTGTGTGAGGATCGGAGGCAGGGCAGGAAGTGACATCACCCCCTGCTTCCCTCTCACGCGGAGCACACAAACAGCAGATGGAGGGTGAGAAGAGGAGCCTGTCTGCCCTGCTGCTGCTGGAGGAAGATGGAGGGAGAAAATCATCAGATTGTACAGGTACGCAGGCCCATACACACACTACCCCCCACACTCATACACTGCCTGCTCATATATACACACATACACACTGCCCCCCACCCATATACACACATTGCCCACCCATATATATATACACACACACACTGCACACACTGCCCCCCACACACACTGCCTCCGACCCATAGATACACACACTGCCCACCCATATATACACACTGCATACACCACCCACCCATATATACACACATAGACACTGCCCCCACCCATATACACACACTGCCCACCACCCATATACATTGCCCAACCATATATATACACACACATACACTGCACTCAGTGCTGTGTGAGGATCGGAGGCAGGGCAGGAAGTGACATCACCCCCTGCTTCCCTCTCACGCGGAGCACACAAACAGCAGATGGAGGGTGAGAAGAGGAGCCTGTCTGCCCTGCTGCTGCTGGAGGAAGATGGAGGGAGAAAATCATCAGATTGTACAGGTACGCAGGCCCATACACACACTACCCCCCACACTCATACACTGCCTGCTCATATATACACACATACACACTGCCCCCCACCTATATACACACATTGCCCACCCATATATATACACACACACACTGCACACACTGCCCCCCACACACACTGCCTCCGACCCATAGATACACACACTGCCCACCCATATATACACACTGCATACACCACCCACCCATATATAGACACTGCCCCCACCCATATACACACACTGCCCACCACCCATATACATTGCCCACCCATATATATACACACACATACACTGCACACACTACCCCACACACACCTCTGCCCCCACCCATATATACGCACACACTGCCCACCCATATATACATACACCACCCACCCATATATACATACACACTGCCCACCCATATATATGCACACACACTGCACACCTATATATATATATATATATATATATATATATATATATATATATACACACACACACACACACTGGATACACTGCTCACCCCATAAATATACACACACACTGAAGACACTGCCCACCCATAGATACACACACACACACACACACACACACACACTGCCCACCCATATATACACACACTGCCCACCAATATATATACACACACACTGCATACACTGCCCACCCATATATATATATATATATATATATATATATACACACATACACTGCTCAACCCATAAATATACACACACACTGCAGACACTGCCCACCCATAGATACACACAGCCCACCTATAGATACACACACTGCATACACTGCCCACCCATAGATACACACACACACTGCATACACTGCCCACCCATATGCACACACTGTACACCCATATAGGTGCACACACTGCCCATCTATATTTATACACACACACTGCCCACCTATACATACACACACTGCACGCATACACTGCCCACCCATATATATATATATACACACACTGCATACACTGCCCACCCATATAT